ATCTTCTGTGAGATAGTGGAGCACCACTGAAATTTTGGCCTCGTTGAGCTATTCTTGCAGCAATAACAGTATACATAGTGCTTCTGTTTTACCTTCTATCTTCTGTGAGATAGTGGAGCACCACTGAAATTTTGGCCTCGTTGAGCTATTCTTGCAGCAATAACAGTATACATAGAGCTTCTGTTTTACCTTCTATCTTCTGTGAGATAGTGGAGCACCACTGAAATTTTGGCCTCGTTGAGCTATTCTTGCAGCAATAACAGTATACATAGTGCTTCTGTTTTACCTTCTATCTTCTGTGAGATAGTGGAGCACCACTGAAATTTTGGCCTCGTTGAGCTATTCTTGCAGCAATAACAGTATACATAGTGCTTCTGTTTTACCTTCTATCTTCTGTGAGATAGTGGAGCACCACTGAAATTTTGGCCTCGTTGAGCTATTCTTGCAGCACATAACAGTATACAATAGTGCTTCTGTTTTTACCTTCTATCTTCTGTGAGATAGTGGAGCACCACTGAAATTTTGGCCTCGTTGAGCTATTCTTGCAGCAATAACAGTATACATAGTGCTTCTGTTTTACCTTCTATCTTCTGTGAGATAGTGGAGCACCACTGAAATTTTGGCCTCGTTGAGCTATTCTTGCAGCAATAACAGTATACATAGTGCTTCTGTTTTACCTTCTATCTTCTGTGAGATAGTGGAGCACCACTGAAATTTTGGCCTCGTTGAGCTATTCTTGCAGCAATAACAGTATACATAGTGCTTCTGTTTTACCTTCTATCTTCTGTGAGATAGTGGAGACACCACTGAAATTTTGGCCTCGTTGAGCTATTCTTGCAGCAATAACAGTATACATGGTGCTTCTGTTTACCTTCTATTTTCTGTGAGATAGTGGAGCACCACTGAAATTTTGGCCTCGTGAGCAATAACTTACATGGTGACCTTTCTGTGAGCAACTTCTATGTGACCCTACAATAGTATTTGTATGCACCTATGATAACTGATAACATCTGAGTTTTTTTGTACTAAAATCATTTTATGCGATTACATATCACATCAGGTTATTGGATTAACAGTTTTGTACATTTAAATTCATTAGCGTCCTTAATTACTTTAGAAATAGTAGAATAATTGTGAATAAATAAAGACGACCTACAATAAAATTGTTATCTTTTTGAATGTTAAAGATATAATTTATTACAAGCAATTAGAGTTTTTAGAATACTTCTAAATCTCCCCATAGAGGTATTAGTTGGCAAATTAGCAATCTTACTAGCTGATCGTTTAGTTCTTCTTGTTTTGTTTACTTGAAGCTCAAATTATATTAACCTTTCGCGATCTTTATCGAGCCTAAGATATACGGCTATAGCAGTTTTATTGTTACTGTAGTATTAAAAAGCTGTTCATTCACTATATCACCGTAATATCCGTGTATATCACTTTTATGTCATATCGTTGTTACTTAACAATAATATTAATGTATAGAATTAATATTATTGTCAAGTAACTACGTTGAGTTGACAGTACAAAATTATGGAACCATAACTCGGCTGTCTCATTTAATATTCTTACCAATATGTATTTAGCTTTAAAAAAACCTCGAAGGACCCTTATTAATTAATTAACACATTAAAACGAGGTAGAGTCTGCACTACCTCGTTTAAGTCTATCAAAGTATTAAGATTATGAATATTTGACAACGATGTCGCGAGAACCCTCATGATTTCGCACATATTACCTACGCATTCATAGGTACTGTGCTGTCTGGCCAAGCGTAGGTAAGATGAGATTATTAAGGCCTCACGTAAGCATTGCGCTTGTACCTCTAGATATTCCACCCATGTAAACATGTGCTTGCTCTGAGCACAAATTCTATAAGTTAGCCCGTAGCAACTAAACATCTCGATGAATCTTACGAACGTTATACTTTACATGGTCCCGGGGACTTAACGACACCCTCATATACTTACTTATAATATTATGAAACGACACAATTATTGCTTCAAGATTTATCTTAATAAATTATTTATTATTTATTTTAGATAAATCTTGTATAATAAAAATACCGTTGTATTATTAAGTATACTGAAAATAAAATGTGAAAATAAAATACAGTTTTACTTTTCAGTCAAACACACGAAAATTTACACATACTTATTAAGTTATTTCTTTATGAAGCCAAAAAATGGTAATCATCAGAATTTTGTTTGTGTCGTTTGATACATTAGGAACTTGGAGTATTTGGAAAATAAAAAGTATCTAATATATCGCCGCATTGTTATTAAAATTCTATAAAGACATACGATGTTGTATTGGAAATTAAACAATAAAAGTTTTAATTAATGAGGGTTTTTGAGTTAAAATTATGAGATCAAGTTATTCGAAATACACCCATAAAGAGAACTATTTAGTAATTTGCTTTATTGTATGATATTTAAAACACTGCACAAAAATTAAATTTTAAATAAAACAAGAAATTTCTTCATAATTAAAAGAGTAATTATGTTTTCCTGAAATATACTCAAGTTTTCAATGATTCATTTCCCTACTTACAAGGAAAGTGACAAAGAAATAAACCATCTGTTTGGAGGTTATTTTTAAATTATTAATTAAACCGTTTTATAATTTGTGAAATTTTGTAACTTCGGTCGTAGAACATATTTGTGTTTAGTACATTTGTGCTTCATTAAAACTTCTCTATGGCCAATAAAAGGGCAAATAAATCGCGTAATTTATAATCTTTGCTCTAGGAGCCCAGAATAAATATATCGGTGATACTGCCCTCAGCTACGACCGACCACGTACCTCACTATCCCTTCCTGCCATTAGAATCCTTAATTGCTCTGAGATTGGTTATGTTACTCTTTTATGGTAAAGCGGTCGGACTTAATTGTTTTTATGAGTGTCTGTATTTCGGCTTTGAGTTATAGTTTTGTAACTCTGCTCCCGGTGGTCCGTCATTAGTTGACTCTGTTTTGTCTATGGCACGTTAATTGTTTGTAATAGCCGTAAGAATCGTTTCGAAATTGTTTCAAGGTAATTTTTAATTGTTAATGGCAGTGTAATGAGGGCTGCGAAAATTTAATGAGGAAGTTTCGTTGCATATATGAAAAAAAAAAGGTTCGCGCGGCCGGGCATCAAAATGTTTATATAGTCTGTGATGGCGCAGGAATATTTTTAAATATTTCATTCAAAACTTTATCATAATGACACTGGGTTACACAACGTCAATAGCGTGCATATTCAGAATTTTATTGAAAATTGTTTTGGGGAAATATTTTATAGGAAATGCCTTTGTAAGAACGTTTCGAAGAAAAGTGGAATGGCCATCGCACAACTAGGTTAAGCACTGTGCTCGAATAGGTTCTAATGAACACGTAGGCCTGGATTCGGGTTTACGAGCGTTAAACGTGATGCGCCTTTTAATATAACGTACGAAAGTAACTCCAAAACTGTTGGAACTTTCCTGCTTACTGTATATAAGCAATACGAAGCAGGACGAAACGCCGAACGTCCTTTAAGTCACGAAGCCCCGACACCAGTGAGCGAGCGGCGTGCGATTTCTTATGTCATTAAAGCGCTCGAGTAGCGGCATTAAATGTACCGCAGACGCTGGGAGGCTACCGTGCTATAAAACAGGCCGTTACGAACAATGGGCGCATAAAAGTACGAAAAACGCCAACACAATACGCGCTCAGCGGCCAACCGAACTCGGGGCGATGATTGTCGCACTCGATTAAGCAACGGACCCACCCAACACCGTCAGCGAACTTCAGCGGGGAATGCTGAAGCGATTTATTGCGACCGAACATCGGCTCGTTAAGAATTCGACATAAAGATCACCGAGATAGTGGGCGTTGCTTTTTTTTTCGGCCAATGCACTTCCTTCGTGATCGAGCGTCGACCGGGATAGCGATTCTTTGAATTATTGCAATAATAAATAACGCGGACTTTAAGCGAGCTTTTATCGAATCTTTAGCGCTTTAACTGAATACATAGTATCTTTAAGATAATCTGAGAATAGACCTTTAGATTGGGTTTGAAGTGCTAGCTCTATGTTTGTGCACGCGCGTATGTTTTGCAGCTCAAAGAGGTGTTAGCGTCACTAAATCTAACTTTATTCTGGTCAGCGAATAAAACCTCAAAAGATTAAATATATCATACCGACAGAACAAAAACGTAATAACGATAATTGAATTGCCAATGATAATTTGCGAAATGGTCGTATGTGAATTAATAACAGTGTGAGTGTTATCTAAACTTTCTATTGTCATGTTGTTAAATACGTTAATAGATATAGATAAAATAAAGAAAGGTATTAGTTTGTTTGAATAATATTCACACTATATCTATTCCATTATAGCTTACACATTATATTATTCTATACATGTGTACGACAAGCCTACAATAATATACTTTTTACAATAATATACGTTTTGTTATTTACCTTTTACCAAATGCTGCGTGGCTCTACTACAATAAATATAGCACAGTTGGTCAAGTTGCTTAAACCGTTTCAGATCTGTCGATTGTTTACTAAGTATACTGTGTCGGTAATCTTGATCAAGAGTGAAAGCAATCCATAATAAATTGAACAACTGCACACAACCAGTCATTAGAGGTATGAATGTGCTTCCACTTCCCGTAACAGTACCGACCCCTTAGCACAGTTATGATCCTAAGAAATCGAAACTACAATTATACATATATATAGAAGGAACATGAGAGTGTTTCATCTGATATCATTGTTGAGTAAATACTTTAAAAATCTCCGTATCACGAGACAATTACCAATGCTTCTAAGTTTTATCTTCCTTCGTTTACCTCTTCCAACGAATGCCTATTGAGAGTGCATAAACATATCCGCTATAGATAACACGTCCGGCCTAACAGTGTCACTGGGTTATTCAGGAGGCGTCCCACGCTATCTCGGGCCCTCCGCGACCCTCGCTGAAGCGTCGCAACAGCATCGCAATGGTATCGCGCGATGATTGTGTTTATTTGCGCGGCGGGCGTGTGTCCGTGCGTGTGAGCGTGTGTGCACGCGCGAGCGGTAGTGGGCCACCCAGCGCGCGGCCACACGCGGCGGCCACCCACGTGGCCAGGGGCGCTCCGCCGCGGCCCGCCTCCGCTACCGGACCCGGACCTCTCCGATTGACGTGCCGCACGGCGCAGCGCCAGCCGGACACCAGACAGCGCCCCGCTAACGAACGACACCAATACGCCACGTATGGTACCGGTCGAGCGATCGATTTTCGATCGTCAACCATGATCCGAGCCGACGTTAAGCTCTAACGATGCGGACGAAGCTTCATTAGAGAATGATTTGAGACAATTAGAATTAAGGCCCATTTACACGATGCCATTTTCTTGTACATACAAGAGCAATAATTGAATGCAATAAATTGCGCGCAATAATTTGTTAGACCATTTGTTGTTTAGACCATGCAACTCATTTATTGCTTCAATTTAATTGTATACAAAAGGCAAGAAACTTGCACCGTGTAAATGGGTCTTTAAGCAGACAGGCGCCGCGCTGGTCCCTTCCTCGAACGTTAAGTATAGGATCAATCGTTAGAAGGAATTCGGGAGGGTTCGACAAAATGCGAATTGCCTGTTATAGGTTTACTGTACCAATGATTTATCTATCTAACAGGCATTAATAAATGAAAATAATAATTAATTAATAAGCTAAAATATCAAAATCAATTTTTAATAGGAAAATTTTATAAGCCGGCTTAGCAAAGCATACTTTTGATTCCACAAAAATCAAGTGTTTCGAAAAGAATGTGTTCAGTCTCGTGCAAAGAAATAAGCGTATGATTTAATACGCAAGCCGCGGTTCACAACATCTGGCGCGAAACGCGACGGACGCCCGCGCCGCAGCCGAATTTCGCCGGCGACGGCGCCCCGTCACTCGGCGCGACCCGATGCGACATAATCGCCGCTCGGGTTACCTCCTCGGCCTACCGGCGCGTCGTTAGCTCTGCCCGAAAGCCCGGCTCTGTTGCGTAATTCGCGATCGGCCTGATACGCCGTTCGGTTGCTCTCACAACCGCCTCATTCTTAGGGCCGTTTGCGACCAGTAAGTTTTTAGGGGAACAAAGTATTTAAGAACATATTTCTCCAATATTCAGCTTTTGTACTTTGGTACAAGCAACATTTTGTTTTTAATTTCAACACAAACAGATGCTTAGCTTTTCGAATTATATTTACAATAGCGTACACCTCAACCTCTTTTCACTAGTCATTGTGTCCTCTGTAACGTTGCCTGGAAGAAATAGCTTCCAAACGATATTACTTTTGCATTTTTTGTCTCGTATACAATAAAACATATTTCATTCATTCATATAAATAATCTCAAATGAAATATATCATCAAAATGCATTTGTCGCACATATCTATTGATGTGTCAAATATTAGCCCCAATGATCAGATTGATCACAAAGTTCAAAAAAATCAATATTTCTCAAATAAGTTTCTATAAAATAAGTAAATTCAGGTTAATTAATTAATTATTGTAATACTAAAATAATATGTCCCTGATTTTTAATTGAGCCATTTGTTAGTTACAAGTTACAAGCCCTACATATTAATATTTTTAAACGATGTGCTAATAATTTGTAAAACAACTAATGGAAAATCGACCAATTTATAAACGGAATTTCAATCTTAATTCGTTCAGGTCAATAAATTCGCAGCTTTTTATTGACACTGTTACGTCAATTTATGGGGCCAATTTATACGATCGACCTGAATCGAGTTGCCGGTGGTTATGAGTCACAAATTATGCAATTCAAGTATGCAAGAGTAATCTCTTGGCATAAAACCATTTTAGCGTATTGATAAATTTGTGTCTAACCGTTTTATTATTTACCTTTAAAGGAAGATTTGATTGCATGTCTAGAACGAATAAATACTTACATGCTAATAGTACCAAAAACAAACCTTATAACATTCATGGTTCAGTTTTCATATGAATAAAATGTCATTAGCTCTAACTGACCTACAGCGTGAATAATGGAAATTCATATGAATAAGACATGATTAAGTAAACATATTGATTAAAAGCAATAATTTATTTGGCAACGTTAGTATTATATTCAAGCAAGGACGTGTTTATTATGTATTGTAATATAAAAACGAGTCTTTGGTACTTCATACATAAAAATCATGTTGTCAATATGTAGGTATATAAAAATCAAAAAACGTTAACTTAACCCAACCTTTTCAGGATTTATGGTTGATTCAAGAGAAAGGAGGGTTACACGACAGGGCACGCGGAAATGTGTGACAACGAAAAAGTCTTTGTTGTATGTTATTGCCTTCATTTATTACTTGTTGACGCAATACATGCTAGCACACAAAGGATGCAATAATTATACGTACGACTATTTCCGAAAAGCTCGTGTGTCTCAAATGTCACACATTAACTGTTACTGACAACTCTGTTTAGGCGAGGGTTCTCGAAATAGTTGGATAATTTATTTCCTATCATTAGGCACGACAAGAAAAACCTCTTTTGAGATTATTCAAAATCTCTTTTATATCTTGCTGCACGGTATATTTTTATTTGTGAATTGGTAGAGTCACTGTGGGGCAACATCAGCTTCTTGATCATGAACAGGCCCTCTCGAAAGGATAAGTGACACGACCACACAGAAAATCGTTATAAAGTGAAAGTATACTTTGCTTGGCCTTGTTAAAGTGATAAATTGGCAAGCGCGATTAGGCAGTTCACCTGATGCCAAGTGGTTACCACCGTCTATCGATATCTACAAGTCCTGACTGGTTGCAGATGCGTTCCCATCTTATTAAAAAAACTAGTGGTCGCCCAGCCGTCGAAATTCGACCATATTTAATTGATTTAATGTATTTTTTATGCATAATAAAAAAAATGATTCTACTAAACGTTTCCATATAAACTATAAAATTATTTCTTTCATACTTCATGAAAATTTCATACGGACGGAGGAGGTCCGCGCAATTTTCGTAAAAGGGGTACAAAGTTTTTGCTTCACGTATTAATATATAGATTAAACCTGTGAGTAATGACGCACCAAAAGAAACGCAAAAGTATAGTACATCCATTTTACACCGGTATTCTATGAGGCCGCCCATTGCTGCAACAACAGAATCTGCTGCAGCATCATCTTTGATCGCAGCAGACTCTTTTGACAACGCCTTCACAATTCACGATGGTTGTCCAATAGTTTTGTGCGTTTTTATAAACAGTACCTGGAGGACCTTTGCCCGGGTTTTTTTTGGTAAATAGTATGTTTTGGAAATTAAAAAAATTAAGATAAAAGAAAGCAATTATCTGGTATAGAAAAAACCCTAAAAAAAAAATAAGTGTGTAAGAAAGTAAAATAAAAAGTGTGTAAATGATAGTGACACGAACCGCGGCCTTCGGTTCCGGGGCCGCCCGATTACCGACCGAGCTATTATAACATTTTTTTTCGGCGAAATTTACTGTCGTATTCGAATGATATTTTTCATTCCCCAAAAACAGGGATAAAAGGACATTTTCTAAAAATGAAACCTGGCTAGATCGATTTTTCGCCCCAGAATCTACGCACATATTAAATTTCATGAAAATCGCTGGAGCCGTTTCCGAGATTCCGATTATATATATACAAGAATTGCTCGTTTAAAGGTATTCGATTTAAAGCGTTGATTTTTGCAGTGGCAAATTGGCGGTGGAATCGAGTGTTATTAAAAAAATAACGCTTCCATGTTCGGCGTTCAAATTTTAGCTGTGTTGTGTTATAGTGTAGATATGGACGTCTTCAAAGTGAACGTTACTAAAGAGCTTTATTTTTCTTAAACAAAAAAATGCCCTAAAACGTACCTTCGTCAGCATTTGTTGTTATTTCTCAATCAGGCGATACTTGAGCTTGAATTTTTTGTCCACCACATATCTTATTAATTCAGGTACTCGAGGAGAGGACGTACGCTCGGCCGATAGTAATCGACCCTGTCGCCGCCTAATCACCGTGTCTTCCAAAAATGATCTTTTGCCAACGGATCCTGCTCAAAGAATAATTCATAATTCTCGAACAAAATACATGTCTATTTATTGAATTTAAGGGTAAAGTGTTATGCATGTAAATGTATTCATTAAAGTTTTTTCTTTAAAATATGTAGAAAAAGTACGAAAAGATGGTCGCCGCTGTGGGAATCGAACCCACGTTTTCGGCATTCGTAGCCTGACGCTCTAGCCTGAAGCTCTTTTCGTACTTTTTCTACATAATATTTTAATGTTCAATCTTAAGTGCAAAGATTAGCACTATAAACAATTTAAATTTCAAAAAAAGTTTTTTCTGTTTAAATATTTCATTACAGGTGATAATGATTTCAATTAATGTTACATTCAGTTCGACCTGTTCACAAGTTTTTCCTCATTGGAATTCATATTTTAACATCGACGCTTTAAATACCTAAAGTGACATCCGAATTTTTGCATCAATACTCGAAGATTCATTGCTTTGTTTCGTTAAATAGATAATTGTAGTAACAAGTTACGTCTGTGGGTAGATACTCTTTGGGAGATAAGAGGTATCCTTTAAGCAACGCCGCCTGCTACCGAGAAGCATCGCGCCAGGCGTGCCCAATCAGCCCGCCATCAATTTGCGCCCCAACAATATAGAGACATTTAAGCCGCTACACGCACGCAAACTATGCAATTTGTTTCAAACACACTTCCGGCTGCCAGATTTTTTTCGAGGTATGATTTATCACCCCGATATATGTGTTCGTTTTAGAATAGACTGCTGATAGAATTGTGAATATAAACTATTCTCGAATCGACCTGAAAACATACAAAAATGTCATTAAAATTGGTCCAGCTCTTTAGGAGGAGTTCAGTGACACACACGTACAAAAGAATTGTATATATAAAGATATACGTACACTAGACTATTTACAAAGTTTTCTACAGTGAAATGGAGGCGTGATTGCTCAGTTTCCGCCTGCTCGCTGTTCATTCAGTATAATCCGAGTGATCAGAGTTGCAATCCGAATGTGGGCATGAGTAAAATTGTTATTTGTGTTGGCAACACTAAAGGAAGTCATTCCTTGAGGTTGTTGGCAAAGCTAAAAGAAGTGTCATCCCTGTGAGATATAAATGAAGCTGCAAGAAGCATTTCAGGGGTCTTCGTCATAGTCGTCGTCTTCTTTGGCTGTCAAACCAGAAGTATACACGATAGTGCTGCCCAATCGTCATTATTAAATTCGGTAAGCACAACATCGAAGACTAATGTTAGGAAAT